GTGCGCGGCTCTTGCCACGCATGCGCATTCGGAGCTGAGAGGTGGATCGGGGCAGAGAGATCCCCAGCGCCAAGGGAGTCCGGCGCTGGAGAAAGGTAAGTGCTTAAGACACACACTCTCACAAACAGACGCACACACACTAGCTAACAGACACACACATTTACTGACAGACACACACTCAGTGACAGACATACATACACACTCACTGAGACAGACACACACTCACTCACTTACAAAACACACACTCACTAACAGACGCACACAAACTAACACACTCAGTAACAGACACACACAGTAACACACTCACTGACACACTCTAACACACACGCTAACACTAACACACACACACACTAACACACACACTCTAACACTAACACACACACTAACACACACACTAACACACACACTCTAAAACTAACACACACATACTCTAACACTAACACACACACACTAACACACACGCACACTCTAACACTAACACACACTAACACACTAACACACACACACTAACACACTTACACACACACTCTCTAACACTAACATACACTCTAACACTAACACACACACTAACACACACACACTAACACACTCTAACACTAACACACACACACACACTCTAACACTAACACACACCAACACACACACACTCTAACACGAACACACACACACACACACTCTAACACTAACACACACTCTAACACACACACACTCTAACACACACACACACTAACACACACTCTAACACTAACACACACACACTAACACACACACACTCACGTTTTAAAACATATATTAATCCTCCCAGCCCCTTACCTGTAGGAGAGCTGAGGGGATTCCCTGGGGTCGAGTGGTGTCACCGGGCGGGCGGGCAGGCAGGCTGGCATACTGATGCCGGAGCAGGAAGATGACATCATCTTCCGGCTCCGGTATCAGTGCGGTTCCCGAGGGAGCTGAAGAGGAAGCACTCAGGGGATAGTGCTCCCTCGCGCACACGCCAGCCTGCCTACCCGCCCGCCCGGTGACACCAGGAGAAGAGATTGGCCACAGTGGCATAAACCCCGCCATGTACGCCACTGACTCATCCCCTTCAGGATTTTGCAGTAAACACTATGGGGTTTTTTAGAAAAAAGTCAGTGTTTACATTACAGTCTAGGGCAGTGATGGCTAACCTTGACACCATGAATTGTTTCTGGATTACATTTCCAATGATGCTCATCTAGCTTTTAGACTCTAAAAGCTAGCTGAGCATCATTTTTAGACTCTAAAAGCTAGCTGAGCATTATGGAAAATGTAGTCCAAAAACTATTTATGGTGTCAAGGTTAGCCATCACAGGCCTGAGGATACCTGCACTGGCCACTCCTACAAGAGGTTCTTTCTGGGGCAGTGCGGCACAGTGTGAGGCACTGACATTCAGTGTATCCATCCTCTGCATGGACATACTAAACTTTTCTTATAGAAATGTACTGATTCAATGCATCTCTATGAGGAGATGCTGATTGGCCAGGACTGTGTTTGGCTCGTGCTGGCTCTGCCCCTGATATGCCTCCTTGACAGTCTCATCAAATCCAATTGGGATTGGCTTTGAGCAACACTTCTGATGATGTCAGCCAAGCAGGCAGATCAGGGGCAAAGCACGAAGCAGCAGACTGAAATAAAAGTAATATTTTACTATATTTAGGGAGAATAGGGGGGCAAGATGGTGTTTTTAACACTATAGGGTCAGGAATACATGTTTGTGTTCCTGAACCTATAGTGTTCCTTTAAGCATTCTGTAGTAGTATGCCTTGTAAGATATGGTAATTAAAGAAACAATCCAAGCACCTCAACCACTACATCGTACATCAGTCCTAAAATGTATCAATATATTAGATAACTAAAATTTGAAAATAAAAGATATCGATTTAAAGTTAAATTTGCATATTATTTTACAGTGTTTTACATTTATATTATAAGTATATTGCTACTTTTCATCTAAAAATAAAATGTACTTTATTAAAATCATGAGAGGTATGACTGTAGGCACTGTAACTGCTTCACAGTTGCGACTGTAAAGTATAAAAGATGCTGGGAGGTGTTGCCCACTGCTGACTTGTTGGGCTCTCCCCAGTAAACTCAATGCAATGCCATCAACTGTTCAAAAACAGCTGCATCTCCCCATCAATAATGGGGAAAATGAGAATGCAGATTTAATTATTACAGACACATTTTTTTCTCTAACACACACTTATCATTACAATAGCAATAGATTTCTTTTTGCAATAAAACCAGGGGTGGCACCATCCCACCTGCCCCATTGACCAGCTTCCAATGCTGCTTTCTCTTATTAAGGTGGCTATGGTGTATGGGGTCCCCTAGTGCCAGTCTTCTGCACAGTGTTAAACTGTTGAGATGGCTGCCCCCTGGAATGTCTAGGTCTCTGTGAGACAGTTGGAATCAATTTCTGGTAGATACTGATGAGTCAGCTAATGAAGTGGATATGTGCTTGAGGCTCAATAAGAGTGTCATGGCACTGCCTGAACCCTGCAGACAGCAAGGCATGACTGCGCCTTTAAGAGACCAGGTTTGAACTCACACCTCCAGCATCCCAGTCAGGTTCTATGCCATGATATCCACCAAGATGCTTCAGTTTCTGTAGGCATTATTCTGCTTCCTGACCCCTTGCCTGGATTAATTTGGGTCAGCTGCATCTAATTAGCAGGCTGTAAAAGTCAGCCCTGCCTGAAACCTAGGATCTGGTCATTTTGCCTTTTTGGTGTTTCCTGACGGATCTTTGCTTCTGACTGATTTCCTGGACTCTGACCTCTGCCTGCTTTACCGACTTCATTACTCTGCTGCCAGTCCTGACTTCTGCTTTTCTTCTGACCCTGCCTTTGGATTTCCCCTTAATCTGTACTGCGCTTCTGGTTTTTGCCTCCTCCCTGTGACATCTCCTGCAACTGGGCTCCAACTCCTGGTGAACTGTTACAAAGAGTTTACTGAAATTCATATTCCAGAGTCTCAATGATCTTTGGAGACAGTTATCAACAAGTGGGAATAACACAGCACTGATTGTTATAATCATAACCACACAGAAAACACAATAGGTTTGCAATGAGTATCTGTGATCCCACTGTATAATGGTAGTAATTGGTACCATTCCTGTATTTACACCAGACACAGAAAAATGAGACACGTGGGTTAAACTACTTTAATTATATTGCAAGCAAGGCCAACAGGATGAGGTTGGTTCTTGCCCGCCAACCCACAGGTAAGTGCTGAGGTTCAGGATTTGCCCTTGGTGCACTCTGTATGATGGGGAATGAGAGGTCTTCCGTTTCGCTCTTCTCCAATGCAATGTCGGAGTCCTCCATCGCAGGCGCCATTTTAGTAGGCTGCGGTTGTGGAGTCCCTCTGAGCAAAGTGCCTATATCTTGTGAAGAGTAGGCTATATTGCTTCTCCTAAGTTTAGGATGTTGAGACTGCATCTTTAAGTACAGAAGGGAACACCATCTGGAATGTCTAGGTGTCTGTGTGACAGTTTAAACCCATTTTGAGTAGTTACAGAGGAATTTACTAGTGACGCAGATATTTGTTTTGCCTCTTTATTATTCTTTATTATTGCTTATTTATTATTAATATTTATATACTTTACAGTTAGAGAAAGGGGTGTGGAAGGCCCTGAAACAAACAAGTTTACAATTTTTGGGATGTGTACGCGAGGCTAAATAAAAGGTTGACTGAAATTTACAGCAGCCCGTCTCCTCTGTACTGTTTGGGCTAATGATGAAGCATTAACATGAGCATGAGTGGGCAGTCCTGTCCGCTTTCAGCCTCTGATAGCTGCCACTGCTGGTATGAAGTGTGTAATCTCTGCCTTAGCCATACATCTAGTGGGAACTAAGCTTTGGTGGCCAGATACTCCTGTACAGCTTTAAATTGCTAAAATGTTTTAACACTGAATGGATGGACAGAGCCATCAAAAGCGCTATCATTATAATTACAATAAGTTAAATGGTTATAATGTCCCTGTATATGTACTGCTAATATAGAAGGTGATTTCACGTAGTTCTTAAAGGGACACTATAGTCACCAGAACTACTACAGCTAAATGTAGCTGTTCTGATGAGTATAGTCAGCCACTACCGGCTTTTAAATTTAAACTCTGCCTTTTTCTGGCTAGTTACATCCCTATTTGCAGTTACTCAAATGGCCAGAAGATGTGTGCAGCACTGGCGTCCAGCATCTCCACGCACTACATGGAAGCACTGAACGTTCCCTGTAGATATGCATTAATTCAATCTCTATGAGATTCATTGGTGCAGAGCGGAGATTTCCAATGTTTTCCTATGGGAAAGAATTGGATTGGCCAAGATCATCTAGTTTTATGATCTCAGCCATGGAGGCAGAGTCAGCTGTGGTGAGGCTTGGCAAAAGAGGTGAGTAGAAAAACCTTTTCAGCTCAAATGGAACAAAGCCAGGGACCTAAACAGCCATACCAGGACTAAAGTGTCAGGAATACAAACATACCTTGCAGCTCTGGCAACTTGCAGGTTTTGCTTATAAATTAATAAAAACAATTTGTTTCTGTGTTAGATTTTAAGTTATTCATAAGATAAGTTAGGAACCACATTTTCTCATAGAGAGTGCAATCTTAGACAATGTTTGAAAATGGGCAGAGCTTATTTCGGTTACCATTTCAGTTACCCACAATCCATCAGTTAAAATAATACCAAGCAATGGGAAACTGCAGACATTGTGGAAGAGAACATGTAGGCACCCAGGTATTGAGATCTGGTGTAAGGAAGAAAAGATGAATGCACAAACTGAACGAAAACAAAAGACAATAGGACTTTGGTATTGGAAACATGTTTAGATGTATTTTACTGTTTAGGGTACAATTTAAAAATCGATTTTTACCTTGTTAGGTTTCAGAATCTTTTCACTGGGCTTTTCAATAATTGTCTGTAAATTTATGAAATTACAGTACCTGGTGAGCTCACAAAGCAGAGCACACTACTGGACTCAGATCAGCAGTGGGTTTTACAATGGCTTTGTGTGAACATTGTGCTCGTATCTTATAGTGTTTCTCAACATTCTAAAGGGAAGGTATTATGCTAATCCAGTTTGACAGCCGAAAAGGTTCACATTGCCTTGAAACATTGTTATGCATCCTGAGAAGACCCTGGGCCTTTAGCCTGTTGTAATAAAGATGCTCACTAGGGCTTAATTAATAATGAAATAACAGACTTAAACAACCCAATAAGCACAATATGATCATAACACACAAAATGGTAAGCAGGTCAGATAAACATAAAGTGCCATTTAAATATGTGATATAATACAATTATTTATATATCACATTTAACAAATTATTCCTATATTAGCAAATTATTCCAATAGTTATACATTTAATATATTAATATAAATGGCATTTCCTGTTTCACTGATATACATAAATTTCAGATTTTTCTTGTCTAAATATATTTACCTTTGTCCTGCTTACCACTTGGAACACCTCTCAGAACATGTATTTAAAGGGGTACTGTCACTTCCAGGGTTTTAATATTATGTTTCATTATACTCCTATATGTATTTCCTAGGTATGAAAAATAATATTTACTGTTTGGAGCATTACAGAAATTATGGGAAAAAGTACCCAGTATATGGAATAACACTTTAATACATATTAAAATGATGTTTGCTCACAAAATTAGCAAAACCGTGAAAGTAAATGTGACAATTGTGATAAATGTGACAATTGGTATACATAAACTCCTGTTATTTCTGTTTCTCCTCATTTGGAATGCATGGTTGTGTCTGGACAACATGCTTATATTGTGAAGAGGGGGTGCTGGAGTCTTATCTTCCACCTCTGGCAGTCAGGTAGCAGGTTCTCTCTGCTCTCCATCTCTCATGAGCCTAGCACGCGTGCTGCATTGGAGCATTGCCATGGCACCCTGCGGCAACACTTGTACAGTTGTGGCTCGTGAGAGGACAATTCAGGAGGTGGAATTTGGAGTCTTCTGGACACCTTACATACATACACACACATTGGGGTTATAGGGCCCGGGGGCCTGTACACCCCTGATGGTGGCCCAGTAGCACTTGTAGAATCATTCCCATCTGTGATATGCAGATAACTCTAAAAACATTTATCCTTTTAGAAGAATGTATAGCAGCCTTGTTGTTAAACAATTAACACTCCAAGCAACATTTCCACTACAGAGCTCTGTGGAGGTTATGGTGCCAGGAGTGCCCAGATGCCCCTAATGTAAGTAGTTAATCCATTTTACAATGGTTTAACTTCTTACCCTGGGCTCACTGGGCGTTGCTCCCTTCCTTCACTGCAGACTTTAGAATGGTGGTAGATCTCTGTCTGAGTGAAGCCCAGTGTGCAGGGCATAGCTCATTGGTTGAGAGTGATCACCTGAGCTACCATTACACTGCAGGGCTTAGCACAGGAGAACTAATTGATGATCTTACACAGGAGCTTCCAGCTCTCCTGGCTGCAGAGAGGAAATGGGGAGCAGTGACAGTGGACCCCAACTAAGCAGTCAAACCATTATAAAACAGTTTAACTACTTGCAATGGAGGTGCCCAGACACTAATGACACCATAACCCCTACAGGTGTAGTGGTTATAGTGCTTGGGGTTTTCTTTTAAGCAAGATCCTTGCAAGTTGCAGTCCAGCAGTGAATAATGCAGAGAGGAAAATTACTTCATACTCCATATTCCAACACATATAAGGCTTGTTTTTGTTGAATCTCCCTCCTGCCACAGACCAATAGACTTATATCTGATATTTTTAAATGGGTGCAACTCACTCTATTATTCTCTATTATCAGCAGCATTTTCTTAATGACTGATCAGCTGACCCTGTGCTAATACTATATAGTGCAAAGGGCCCCTGTTTAAAAACCAAAATACTGGGTACCACTACAGTGTTATATGCACATATGGTGATACAAATGTCCTTGCTTAGCATAACACTAATTTTTACTTTCTCTGTTTGCTTTAACACACAGTTTCATTAATATATTACTAAATAAATGTAATAGGTAGAACACGTCTTCATATCTTCATCTTTTTTCAAGCAATGTCCTCCAAATCAATAAAAAAAAAGACAATAATACAGTTACAACTGGGAATGTCAACATGTCGTCCATGTATGTTTTTCATTGTGGCATCAAATTGTAATTGTGTAGTACGTTATGAGATAATATATTAAATTTAGAGCGACTGACCCTTTGAATAAATACTATTTGAAATGATAAACCAACACACAAGCATGAATAAGATTTATGAGCTTATGAACACATGCAATATTGTGCAGATAGCCAGACACTAAATTAGGAGAAACAACACCTCCGTGGTCTCATGGCATATTAAGAACTGAAAAAGAATATTGTAATTTAATCATTTTGCGCAGTTCTGAAGCACTGAGTAGGTTAAATTTGTTTTGCCTGTGGTTGGCAATAACTAAATAAATAAGACAGAGAAAAAAAAACAACGATTTAGCTTCAGACAATCAGCTTTTTTTTCTCATGATGCAGCTGAAAGGGTTTAAGATCAAAACAAAGCTTACGCCATATTCTTTCAAAGTCACATTAAGTATCAATAATAGAGGTGCTTACTGATACCCAATACAATCCAGCCATTATTTTTTATTTATAGCTGACAGAGCTGCGAGCGGGAGAAATACAATCACACTTTAAATAACGGAAGGCAGCCGCATTAAAACTATCTACGCAGTTACAGTAGTTGCACAAATGCCTCCCAACGGACCACAGTGTGCACACATCCTGCATTTTTAATTTTAAAAACATATTTCTTTTAAAATTATTCAGTGTTTCAGAAGAGCCTCTTTTATTCCTGTGATAAATTACTGTAATAAAAATGCCTTTCGTCCCAAAAATACAAGAAGCGGCTTCTACAGTGAGATAGCAGGGAAACAGCCTCCGGAGGCTTTAGATAGGGACTAGAGAACAGGCTGATTTATATCTTTTAAGTTTAATGATTTTTAAGGCACTGCTTCTAGTTTTATAGAGAAGCCATAAAGAAATTATTTTCTTCGGGTTTACCATTATATTATAAGTGTAAAACCTTTGTAGGAAAAAAAAGTTATGCTAAACAGTGTGAAAGCCAAGGACAACTGCAATTACTCATCAAAGCACGCTGACTGTATATTGGAAATATAAGTAAAGTACAGCTGGAAACATTTAAATGATTAGGATTAACCCCTTAAGGCCCAAGTTTGCTTGTTTTGTACTTAAATGAAGCATATAGTATTAGGAATACAAACCTGTTTCTCTAACGCTATAATGCTATTATATTAGTTCTATACAGGTCCCCCCATGATCACCCACGTGTGCAATAAGGATTCAAGGAATAAAAGTTTTGCTAACCTTTTTCCAGAGCCAAAGCTCCCTCAGTGCTGCTTAACTCTTCACCTCCCACGACTTCAGTGACAAAGCATGGCCTCCATTGCGATGGTCCAGGAGGAGCATCGGAGACCTGATGCGCATGCACAGCAAGTGCCACACACGGTTTCAAGCTTCTCCAAAGTAAAGCATTATATTCATAGATTTTTTATGGGCTTCCGCCTCCCAAGTTTTACTCGGTCAGTGTAGCAGAAGGGCCTCTAGTAGCTGTCACTAGCCTCTAGACAACCACTAGAGGTGGATATTATGTGCTTATATTTTGCACTTTATGCATGTGGCTTTGGGTTTACATTAAGCACTTTAATGTCAAATGATTAGGATACACTATTACGGATTGGGTATTTATTTGCACTAGAGTATTAACTGAATAGCAGTTGGCACACGATTTTTACTTTGATTGGGGTATGAGTTGTGTGTTGGATTTTAATATGGTGGCACTATTATACTGTTGATGTATTTTTAGGATTGAAATTGGTAACAATGTAGAAGGATTGTAAAAAAGAAAAATGCAATGTTTTGCATTGCAGGGTTAAGGACAGGGACACTGCATCCCGACGAATTCATTTCATTAAGTTATCTGTGTGACTAAAGTGTTTTTTTTATGGACAAAAGCATTTTTCTTCACAATTTCTCATGTATTTCACTAACATTTATTATATAGTGTTTTAAAGGAAAAAAGGTCTTAAATTTGATATGACTTAATTATACAAATTCTCATTAATTATTAAAAAAAAATGCAAAATACATTGCTTCACTGTTTTGGCAGTAATAATCTGTACATAATTATTCCAGCTTAAGTAAAGTAATTCAAAATAAATGTAGTTTTTCTGGTTTACAGAGCACATCATATGTCTAAGAGCTCAAGTTTATTTTTTGTAGATGCAGACTACAAAATACAAGGTGTAAAATACTATTTTAATGTAGAACATTTTTAGAATAAGTATTAAAAGCCATCACAGAAAACAAAATGGCCACTCAAACATATATATTTATTTAAAGTAGACCTCACAGGGTATTTACCTAAAGGTATTTTGACACTTTTTAAATTACTATTTAAAGCGGTACTATCATGCCAAACTTACCTTTCCTCAATCTCTTCCTCTTCTTCCCCTCTCTCAGGATCTGTTCTTGTTTTCTTCCTGTCTTCTTTAGTTTTCTTTAAAATCATAAGACAAAGTAGGGACTCTTTGCCTTATGGAGGTTTCCTCCGCTTGACCAGCTTTGACCAATTTTCCCATAATTCTTACCTTTCCTCTGTGATGTCAAGATGCTCCCTGTCATTTTAGATGAAACTGCCGAATTGCGTTCTAACTGAATGAAAACAGTATGTTCGTTTGTTTTAGAACTCAATTCGGCACTTTGTTTGTATCGGAATTTCATTCGAATGGTGGGGGCCATAAACAACAATAAGAGGGGGGAACCTATTGTTCCCCCTCCCAGCCCCCACCCCTGAGCGGCAGGTGGGGGCCATTAACAACAATAAGAGGGGGGGGAAACAATAGGCGGGTGGGGGCCAATAAAATCCCCCCCTTTCAGAGAACCAATCAGAGTGTTCTTAGCCTAATTGCAGGGCAATTATAAGCCTTCCCCCGCCCTGCAGAGCTCAGTCTCTTCATGGGTGAAGAAGGATTATTTTCTTTTTCGCCTAGTTTTTTTTTTTTCTCTTTGGTTTTTTATTTTATTTTCAGTTCCACGGGTATGATGTTTTTTTATTTGGCCTTTTTTGGGGCTGAAAAATGAAGATTTTAGAAAAAAGAAGACGTTGAATGGTAAGTTTAATTTTTCTTTACAGGTTAGTTATT